TGCTGTGAATGAATTCGTTCTCGCATATTCTTTAACGGATTCTTCCACTGCACAAGTAGCAAATGGATTGCACGCTGCACCTCATGCTATTTACAATATTAGCTCGAACCGGTGATGGTATTTGTGGAAGTGGGGAAAGGAGGGGTGAAATGAAGAGGATGGAACACACAATGAACAAGAGAAGGGGTGCGACCCGGCTGAGACATACCCGCTAAAACGCGGAGAGTGAGTGTGCGATAATGATATAGTGGTCTAGAACGACGACGAGATATGGTATATATGTACTAGCAGCTAAAACGCTACATAGAGAAGGGCATCCAGTACGGCATTACACGTTCACCTCGGTTTCACGATGCTGCTGAGCGAGCAAATCCGTTTTTGAGTTCTGAAAAATGGAAATGATCTGAGTTCACAATGAAAATCGAGGTAATGTGTTCACCTGTCTAACCACTGCAACCTGACATGTCTCTGGAGTTTGCCCGCGAGAAATGCTTGCGAAATAGCGACGCATTCCATTCAAGGTGTTGCGAGCTTTGAGTGGTGGTGGTGTAGGCGGATGTGCCTCAGGCTAGAAAAGAGAAGATGAGAAAATGATTTTTTCCAATCTAAGACACTGATTCCAGGCTCAGACAAGTGCGAATCAGGGCCGTCGCAAGTGAAAACAGATTGAGGAATTCTGACTAAAACCATTTCACGCAGCCTACATAATCATTTGTACTCTCGGATACAACAAATTTGAGATCGCATTATCAACTATAGCACTACGGAAAGCTAGCGTGGCCAGGTGGCCATGAATCATGCGCCGCAGCTGGTGTGACAGTAGTCACGCCCTCCAATCTGTATCCTGAGTCAGCATGTTTTCTCATTTCATTGTTGAAACATCAAACAAAAAAACGATGAGATATAGAAATATGTACCTCAGCTGCGATAGTTTCTGTCTTCAAAGCATCGTCGGAATGCGAGTCAGCAGCAGCATCAGTTATCTTTTTGACGCCGACAGCAGCTGGTGGTGGCTCGCTTCCGGGCGGGTACATGGTCATACCACTGAACGCGTCTACAAATGCCTCCGGAGGCACCATGAAAAGTGGAAGTGCCTGCAAAAATGTCAAATGCATTTAAAGTTCAACTATCATTATAAAAAAGATACCTTGCGGTCGCTGGTGCCATTGTGATTTGGTGGTGCCTCTGTGGGACTGGCACTACTGATCGAGTCAGTTGTACTTTCTTTGTCATCCTCATTGATTGTAATCTTATCGAGACGAGAACTTAGACGAGCTGCCACAAAACGATTCATTACGTTGAAATGTTCACTCATCTGCAGGACATCCCGAGCAGAATCAATTCTGAAATAACGAGCATGAATGAACTATAACATATAATTTTGCGATCTTGTACATAATCCAAATAGCTAACCGAAACAGATTGCTTGGAGTTTGAAGGATGGTGCTTGGCGCACTCTGCTTGACCCAAGGGTGATCGAGCACTTCGTTGGCAGTGAGCCTCTCACTCACGTTTTTGACCTGAACATTTACGATTGTACACCCCAGAGAAAAAAGAGATGAAACCCAGATAAACTCACCAGTAGACTGCTAACGAGGTGTTTGGCTTCAGCGCTTATCATGCTCCACTCTTCCGCTGGAAAATCGTACTGACCGCATTGAATACGACGAAAGAGCTCCTGTTGGCAATCGTCGCACGGTTGACCCTCAGACCAACTGAAATCTATCAGGACTAGATAGTGCGTTCAACTCATCATCTGCTTTTCGGTTAGATATCAACAAGGACTTCAAAGGTAGCGACTCGGCAGAATTTCGTTTTACACTTTTTCACCTTCTTAGGAGTTTTATACTTTTTCATCTTTCTAGGACCTCCTCGCCATGAGGAACGCATATCTGGGCTTT